TCAAGAAAGTAAATAAAAAACGCATCAGGATATTATTGTATATAAATTATATGATGGCATTTCGATCATTTGCGCGGTTGCATCTTAACGATCGTTATGTGATGTCAGAAAAGCTAAATTTTCCTCCGGACATCATTTTGACCAATTTATATACTCGCTTTACCGAGACATCCTTTCTAAAGGCTGGAGGAATGCAAAAGTAGTTATTTCTTCTATACTTATACATATCTCGTATCCCATCAATTCATAAGATAGGAAGAACATGATTTTTTCTTTTTTTTCTCTAGATCCAAGATGACCGCAAGATGTGAAGATAAACTTTTGTGCTATATGTTTACTCTTTGCTTGATGCTCGACTCATTCCGTGTGGATACAGAATCGTTAAGTGAAGATCTGGCGGTGACTACTAACAAGTAATATTAAAAAATATATCTCGCGACTTCCGATAATCAATTATGCTCACTATCTTCGTTGTTTTATTTACTGAATTTCAGGGTTTATGGTATATTTAAAACGCTAGGATGCAAAATCGAAGGATTGAACAAGTCTGAAAAGAATGCGCTCGGTATTAATGAGGCACAATCGAGAAAGGTGAAACGTGCTGCGCTAACTGTCCCACTGGTGCTTCCGGAACCAAAAAAGAGGAAATACGATAGATGAGAAAAAAAAATAGAGTATAAGGACTAAGTTTTTATATTCCAATTTCTTCTTTTCAACACAGATTTCTTCACGAAACCTCGGAGAATGAACACGTTCTCAAACAACTTTTAAAATTCTAACTTGAATTAAAATATCGTTTACACATTTTTATTATAATAATATTTATTCATCCGGAACTACAGAAATTAAAAATTCTAATAAGCAAGAACGTTATTACCAAAATAAAAAAAAAAAGTTCAACAAAATTATGTACCCTCAACTTCACCCGCCTCGATTGCGTCGCTCAAGTCCTTGGGTGATTGACTGTTTTTTTCATGTTGAAATAATGCAAGCTGTTTAGAATTTAATCTTAAATAAAGAGATCATAATCACGTTGAGATGACAACTGACCCATCAATGGTGCATCCAACACTATTGCATGTGCCCAAAATTTCTTTAATAGTTCCCTTTAGAGATATTGCGTAAGATTTGAAACGCATTGTCCTTGCAATCTCAATCACTTCATCCAATGTTATATTACCGCTGTGCTTGATATTTTTCTCCTTTTTGCGATCTCTTGGGGGTTCCTTAAGAG